TAAAGTTAAGGGTTTAGGGCTTAAGGTCTAGGGTTTAGGGTCTAGCGGCAGATGCCAAAATACTCAACCCCATGTTGGTAACAGGTTTGCAGGAAGAAGGTAAATGAATATTCACCAGTAGCTTATGCTTGACCTTCCACGATTGGAATCCGGGGGCGGGGTGTGTTGCTCCAGAATCTTTTTTGGGGGTGACTTTTTGGCAGTCCCTCAAAGTAAGGGCTATATACAATGTGAAACAAACACTGGGGTTATGATTGGGGCCCTCTCCCTACCAAGGATCCATCCATGCCCCAACAGCACACATGACGTAAACCCCTAGGGCCCTGGGAGACCTGTTTGAGAAAACCTCTGAATCTTTATAGTATTACATGCCAAAGCCCACAGACTAGTTTTGCGAAGCCCCTCCAGAACAGGGTCATACTTACTCCAAGAAACATAACAAGATCTCTACAACACCTAGCCCTCTTACTGAACCCTTAACCCTCAACTTTCTTAAAGACTTGATGCAAAACCCCTACCCTGTAACTCCTAGGCCCCTGTATGTTCCCACTGACCATTTCATGTTCCTTCTTCTTTTCCTTTTGATTCTTCAGTTAAGCCCTGAGCCCTACACCCTAAACCCTAAACACTAAGCCCTAAGCCCTCAAAACCCGGTACCCTAAACCCTAAATCCCAAACCCTCAACCCTAAATAATCCTAAGCCCTGGGGCTGGAAGTAGCGCCCGGCACCACCTGCTTCAAAGTCCTGCTGCGCCCTGCTGGCATCCTGGATGTCCTCCATTTTGGGACTATAGTCTAAACTCCTTAAGGGGGGTTATATAGGGAATAATGGAACTCAAAATTGAAACTACTATTTAGGGTTTAGGGTTTAGGGTCTAAACTCATTAAAGGGGGTTCTATAGAGATTATATAGGGTTTAGGGTCTAGGGTTTAGATTTTTTTGCGGGACTTTTCTCCACTGTCCAGGCAGGGTTTGGGGTTCAGGGTTTAGGGTTTAGGGTTCAGGGTTCAGGGTCTAAACTCCTTAAACGGGGTTCTATAGGGGATTATAAACGGTCTAAGGTTTAGACTTTAGTTTGTCTTTTTTCCGGGACCTTTTCTCTACTGTCCAAGCGGTTTAGGGTTTAGGGTTTAGGGTTTAGGGTTCAGGGGTTAAGGTTCTAAACTCCTTGAAGGGGGTTATATAATTTATATACATACCCCAATAAAGGAGAACCACATGAAAAAGAAGCTGGAAAGTGAAATGGAAACTGGTATTATATAGGACGTATAGGAGCGTATGAGCTATAGTCTAAACTCTGTCAAGAGGGTTATATAGAGGATAATATGGGGGACCATCATGGGGGTTAGCACGGGGGATACTAGAAGTTTAGACAATAGCTCATTTGGGGAGCTTTCAAAATTGAGGTCTCGCTTAGAGATATGGTAGTTTCCCTAAATAAGGGGCCCCTCATATAGACCCCAACATACAGTAATCCTTATCATAAGGATCTCCGAAAAAGTACCCGCAATTTGGGGAACCCTCGCGTGTAGAGTTTAGGGTCTAGAGTTCGCGTCAGATTTGGAGTTGAAAGGATTAGGGCTTGTGAGTTGTCAAAATTGCCGCCCCATTTTGGGTACCCTGTATAGATTCGGGGTCGAATCAAGACGGGAATTCAAAAACATGTACCCAAAACCCCAAATTAACCCTAAACCCTAAATCCTAAACACTAAATCCCAAACCCTTTATTAATGGGTTTGTGGTGTCCTTCAGCGTGGGCACAGGTGGCCTCACAGCCTGGGTCAAAATCTTCACCTTTGCGGAACCTCGGCTTCTGGGAGGATCCCTGAGATTGAGGGTAGGGGGTTACAATAGGTGATGGTTTAGGGTTTAGGGTTTAGGGCCTCAAGGTACCCCACCCAGGGTTAGAGGAGCTCATAAGGACTATCTCGGGCCTAATAAGGCCTTGAGAGGGTTCTAAATCTGCAGGGAGTACCTTTGGGAGGGTACTGTTGTAACTCCTCACTTACCCTAAGGCTCAAAATAGCCCAAAAGCCTATTAGAGTATGGCCTTGGGGCCCAAAAACCTCATATTATGAGTCCTTAGAGCCTTAGAGTAAGGGTCCAAGTACCCAATAATCATATACTTACCCCAAAACTGTACTATACTTACTATGACCCAAGTCCCATTGGGCATATGGACCCTAGGGTTTTGCCTGCGAGGTTATGGAGTCCAGGGCCGAGTGATTAAGTTTTCTGGTTGGGTTTAGGGTTTAGGGTTTAGGGTTTAGGGTTTAGGGCCCTAAACCCGGAAGCCGAAACCCAAAATCCTAAACCTTAAACCCTAAACCCTAAACCCTACATCCTAAACCCGAAATCCTAAATCCTACATCCTAAACCCTAAACCCTGAATCCTGAACGCTCAACCCCTAAATCCCGCCATGCATGGGAGACCGCTAAACTCGGACTCCCCAAGAGATCCCCAGGTGCCTCCTTTATTGGGTCGGTGTTAAGATTTTTTTTGAACACTAGAACCTTTCACGCGCGAGCCCCAAGAATGCTGGACACAAGTCTTACACTAATCGGGTTGCTGCACTTCCAAGTCATGGCCGCCGAGTTCTTGCATGAAAGCGGACGCCCAAAACCCTTGTACCCTGAAACCTTAAACCCTAACCCTTTGGAGCCTTTATCTACAAAACCCTCTGAGCCCTTCAACCCTAAAAGCATGAGCTACCCGGAAAAAGGCAACTTCGCGTTCGCAATCCAGGGATTACTAAACACTGAAGCTGGAACTCTAAGGTGGAAGCGGGGTTCAGGATTTAGGGCTTGGATACAAGAAGGATCATGGGGGTAGTAGCCCGCAAGGGCTAGGTACCTATCAATTTGGTAAAGTATGACATCACGAATTCTGAGCTCTAACCCCAAGCCCATGCTAAGTATTCATCCCGCAACCTCTACTTGCAGAGTCTGTGGGACTTCGTGAAAGTAGGTTAATAGTGGTTTAGGGTTTAAGGGTTTAGGGTCCAGGGCACAATTGGGCTTCTGTTGCAATTTATAGGTCCAGCAAGTATACGTACATCTTCCTGACCCTCCAAGGAAATTCTGACCTGAGAAGCATTTTCTTCAGCAGCCATGCAGACTAGTCAGTACGTCACTCCTCTCTTTTGCTATGTGTAGAAACCCTTACAGCCTGGAATGATAATGCAAAGTGGGGGAAACTCTCTTGGGTCTTCAAACCCTGACACCCAAAACACTACTCCTAAGCCCTGAGCCTTACGAAAAGAGAGCTGCTCCTAGGCCATAACCCCTAAGCCCCAAGCCCTAAACCCTAAGCCCTACATCCCTAAACCCTGCGTCCTAAACCCCAAGCCCTAAAAACCAAGCCCTAAACCCCAAACCCTAAACCCCAACACCTAAACCCCAACCCCTAAACCCCAACCCCCAAACCCTAAGCACTAAACTCTAAAACCCGCACGAGCAGCGCTGGGAGATGGAGCCATGCATTCCCAGCCAGACACACAGCATACCGAAGGTAATGCCTTGGTTAGCTTTTAGAGCCTTTTGGGGTTTAGGGTTTAGGGCTTAGGGTTTAGGGGATACGGCTTAGAGCTTAGGGTTTAAGGTTTAGGGCTTAGGGTTTAGAGTTTAGGGTTTAGGGCCTAGGGTTTAGGGTCCTTATGAAGCTAATAAGGCAAAATATTTGGGAGTCCATAGGCCAACCCAGATGCACGCAAAGACGCAGTTGTTCCACATCAGCAGCCTCGGAGCTTATAGGGACATATGAGTAATGCTTAGGGTTTAGGGTTTAGGGTTTAGGGTTTGGGGTTGAGGGTTTGGTGGTTGAACCTAGTAAGATTATATTCCTTATATAAGATACGTAATCTTACTCTATAGTGGGTGCCATAGTATCCCCAGATTAAATACTACTCATATGAGCTATAGTCTAAACTCCTTAATCAGGGGTTATATTGGGAACGATATAGGGGACTACTATAGGGGTCATTAAGGGGGATACTAGGAGTGTAGACTATAGCTCATATAGGGATACATGCGGTTTAGGGTTCAGCGGATGTACAGGGATATTTAGGAGTGAGATGGGGATATATAGTAGCGAACGGAAAAGAGGACGAAAACTACTAATTGTATAGGGTTGAAGGTTCGGGAACGGAGGAGAACATGGAGACTGCTATAATGAACGGAAAATGACATTGAAGCTAGTGCCGCAGGGCTATAGAGGGATTATGTTGAACCAAGTAAGCTGGCCAAACCCTGAAGCCTGAAAAAAAAAACCTAAACCCTAAACCCTAAACCATAAGCCGCCCTTAAAACTTTAAGCTGCGGTTACCGTTGACTTCTTTGTGCGTAATACTGCGTGTGAGCCACTGTAACCCCAAGGAAGCAAATGACGGGATTCTAAGCGCAATGCTGCCATCATAGGTTTGCCTACTATCCTATCTATGCCTATGCTACCCGAGGTGCCTCCTTAATTCAGCTCATTCATGGCTGATGAAGTACCGGGGGGTGGGGGGGGGCGGACTTGCTTTGCTCAACGCTAAGATGTACTGAATTCCAAAGAGCTGTAGAGCTGATAACCTTAACCTAGTTGTTGTTAGCAAACAATGCACGGGAAAGTGGAAACTAGTCCTACATCATTTGGCATTGTGTTGGGGGGGTACTAAACATTACTACCAAAACTTTGAGGAGTCCGCCACTTTGACGCTGAAATTCTGGCTCAGCAGTTAGGGACTGCGGCGCTGCACCAACAAATCTCCTTAACGCCGATAATCGCTAACAAACCTACGCATCCCTAGGTACCGATCAAAAATGCTCCCATGAACCCTACCAAAGCCCAAGCCCTAACATTGATATTGTTACTGTTAGTATTCTTGGTATTATTATCGTTACTATTATTCGTATTATTGTTACTACTGCTATTACTACTAATATTATTGCTACTATTATGCAAGAAACCTTACCAAAACAAAAACAGAAAGAGTTCGTTACAGGCGCGCCCAGCAACAGCCACCGTGGTTCCAGCGGGAAAGCTGGATAGCCCACGAAAATAAAATTCATCACAGCTGTAACGATCCTTGTCTGGGTAGGGAAGCTCTCTAAAAGCTGATGGCTCTGCCTACATACTGAAGTTGCCGTATATCTGTACCTAAAAAGACGTTGAAACACGTGTCCTAACAAGCCCCAGCATCAATGCACCGACCAGGATGTAGTTGTCCATGCTGGAAGTTGATAATCCAAAAACATCATGGACATCTTCGCGGAAAAGTCCCCACTGGGCCAGGCGCATGCTCTGGACCTGACTCGCTCATGTGTAAGGTTTGGGAATTTTGGGATTTCGGGTTCGGAATTGAAGACTAGTTTTGCGTAAACGCCTCAAAGTTATGCATGGGCTTTGAAGCACGCATTAGGTTCGTTAGGTTCAGCAGTCGAAGTCACCGCCTTTAAGTGCTTCTCGAGATTAACCTGTCTTACATAAGCCGACCCTACCATGAAAGGAAGGGACGTGCTGTTCGCAGGGCCCTACCTCAACCCGTGAGACCCAGACGGTCCTGCACACCTTGATTAAGGAATACGCTGGGGAGGAAGCTTGCAGAACTTGTACCTGTGGCTCCATTTACCTACAGTTTAGTAGTACTTACCCCTTAATTGGTAGGTAGAACCCATAAAACTGTAGGTAAATGGAGTCACAGGTATACCTTATACCCTAGGAATTACAGAACATTGGGGATCTTCAGTGGTGTAAGGCTTCATCCACCCGACTTCAAATTGGGATCCTTGATGTGATGGAAGGAATATTCGTTAATTGAAGGGTATTGGGTTTCATGAGCACGGACCAGTTGATTAGTGGCCTTTAGCTACTCCAGCTTCCATAATGAGCACCCCGTAACTATAATATGACTACAGTAGGGTCCGAATTTTCAAGGTTGGGGCTACTAAGACTAGAAACCCTGAACTCTGAAAACCCTCTCCTTACCAGTGTTGAACAGGCCACCTGGTAGATGCAGGTCTGCCTCTGTTCGGCATCGAACTTAAAACCTCGGCCAAACAACACAGGGTGTAGCGATATTTCCCCCAGTAACGGAGAAACAAAGGGTTGTGGGTGCTTAGAACAGGGTTATGTATGGGCAAGATAGGAAACATAGGGGGATGTAACCCTAAATAATGGCGAATCACAAGAAAAAGAGATGGAACATCAAATGAAAACTGGGCTTATGTTGGGGTTTATGGCTTAGGGTTACCTTGAGCTCCGGGGGACTCAGCAAGTAGGTTAAGAATGGATAACTGAGGCTATCGAATGGCTTATAAGGGCTCTGAGTATGCTTACTAAGTCCCCTGACCCCTTCCATGCGAGAATTGCTAGTGTGAGTGACTGTAACACTGCAACGTTGGTTAACCCAACCTCCCAAAAAAGGACCCTATGGTTATCATATGACTGATGCAGCATCCTTGTTTCACATTAGACGTCAGGGTGCATGGGAAGCAGCCCAGACCCAAATAGCAGCCAAGGCACGATCCAGGTTGTAGTAGTATGCCGACGCCGCGGCGCCGGCAGAGGCCACAACCGGAATCTCCATGATAAATAAGGAAAAACTGGGTGCTCTCTTGCACCTCAGCTGACGACGACTGCATGGTTTGGATTTCGCATGTTCGAACCCTTTCCAAAGGAATGCTGTCAAGTCCTGCAGCCAACTGGCTTCCGCACAGTTGCGTGAACACAGACAAAAGCACTGTGCTACTAGCATTATTCTTAGTACCATTATTAATATCAAAATTGCCATTCTTTCTATCACTATTACTAGTATTGCTACTCTTTTTCTTTTCTTATTATTGTTACTATGTTTTTTTCAAACGAGGGTTTGCCATTCGACGCTGCTCTGCAAGCAATCGAAAGCCTACAGATTCCAAGTCCAAAGAGGCATCCTCATAGTCTGAAGAGCCGGGAGTGTCGGGGGCTAAAGGGTTTAGGGTTTGTAGGGTT